ATCGGATAATATTCATCCGATCTTCACTCACGAGGGGAAACATCGGATCTCGGCCTACAGCGATCTTACCCTTGCATGGACCAGCTTTATTTAGCTATAACTTCATAAAAATTAGTATCCACACAAAATAATAACAAAAGAAGCCATATTCTCGCTAAAAATCGTAAATAAAAGTGATAGGGAAAGATCGGATGGACAAAAATAATACAAAAATTACATTGTTTTATAAAATGCCACGCAGCACAGGTCCCACTTGCCGGAGTGACTGGCGCGAACTGAGGGTCGGGGCAGGATGAAATGGCGTCGTGTAGCATATTGTTAGCTTTTCAAAATATAGCATAATTCGCAGGGAATTTGAATCCTACGGTCTTGCCCCATCACCGATCTTACCCCAACGTACCTTAATGGAATGAAAGATCAACACGTTTGTTCAACTCGAGTGTTTATTTAATACTGCTTACTTTCTAATACATCGAATATCACCTACAAGTACATAGGTTACTTCACCTTTGGGGGCAAAGGAAAAAAAAATATTCTTAACTACTAAATTTCTTAGTCCTATTCTTATGAACAATGTCAATTTTACCATTTATATCAATTTTCACATTTACTCCTAAATCTTCTACAACTTTATAAGGTCCATCAAAAACACAATCTAATTTACGAGCACATTCATTTTTAAGTAAAACAAGATCATTCTTATTATAAAATACAGGATTATATGATTCATCATATTTATCTTTCCTTTTTTCCTTACAAGTTATCAAATTATTTCTAGCATCTTAAGCCTACTTGCAATTTATATTTTAAATCTAAACAATAATTATCAGGATTATTTAATAGGCAAACGACATTGTCTACCAAAAACAAGTTCAAAAGGAGTGTACTTAGTTTGAGTGTTCACACAATTATTATAACTAAAACACCAAAATGGAACCCTATGGGACCATGAAAAATTCGAATTAGTACAATAAGTTCTTAGAAACGCACCTAAATGTTTATGAGCTATCTCAAGAGAACCGATTGATTGGTGGTGGTATGCAGTTGACGATAACTTATCGATTTCTAATAACTTACATACCTATTCCATAACCTGAGACATGAATTCTGTCCCCCTATCTGTAGCTATACATTTCGGAATACCGAATCTTAAAATAAAGTTACTTACAAAAGCTTCTGCAACTGTAACAACTTCTTTATTAGGCAATGGATACGCCTCTATATATTTTGTTAACTCGCATTGGAGACTTAAAATATAACAATTTCCATTCTCATCCCTATCTTATGGTCCAACTAAATCGAGGAAAACCTTCTCGAACGCAGTCGACGCAGTGGAGGTTAAGGTCATAGGTTGTTTGGTATATTTACCTTGTTTCATTTTCTGACATAATGCGCATTTACTTATATATTTACGGATATCCGAATCTAGTCCTGGCCAATAGTATTTCCTCCTAATATTATTCGTCATTCTGGTTATTCCAGCATGTCCACTAGTGGGTAATAAATGATAGTCATTTAAAATAAATTGTTTCTCGTTTTCATCATAAATTCTCTCTATTCCTTTCAGTACACATATTCGGGGTCCGGACCATTCACTCAAAGATTTAACTTCACTACATATTCCTTTTATAAACTCAGTATTCTTTTCATCTTTTACTATACATAATTCTTTTACTTTTATTTTTTATGTAACTGTTAAAATGAACAAAATGAACAAAATTTATTAAATAAATAAAATTAACCATTTTGAATAAAATTATCATATCCAATCCATTCATAACAATCTACGATTTCATAACTTTAGGCCATCTAGCGTCCATTTTACGTACCATCTTGAGAGTCAATTTTGTTCGATAAAATTACATATAGAATGAAGTAGACGGCGCTATTACAGAAGAATTTAAGTCGAAATTTTTGAAGGTTTCGCTTCTACCACGTGTGAATTGCACACACACGTTTATTTTAACAGATAATTTGGGTTATTCTTTTTTCTATCAGATATAGCTTCATCATCATCAGCATCATCATTACAGCCTCCCCCAAGGAACGCCACAAAGCACGGTCCCGAGCCACCTGCATCCATTCACTTCCTGCATGTCTTACCAGGTCGTCACTCCATCTAGTTGGGGGAAGCCTTACACTTTGCCTGCCGGTACGACGCTGTTATTCGAGAACCTTTCTTCCCCATCGGTTATCGGTTCTTCGAGCTATATGGCCGGCCCATTGCCATTTCAGCTTACTAATCCGTTGGGCTATGTCGGTTACTCTGGTTCTACTGCGGATATCCTCCTTAAGTCTATCACGCAGAGAAACCCCGAGCATAACCCTCTCCATAGCTTGTTGAGCGACTTTGAGCGTCCTTATACGGCCTGCAGTGAAGGACCACGTCTGAGATCCATAGGTCATCACTGGCAACACGCACTAGTTGTACAATCTAGCTTTGAGGTTTTGAAGTATGCATGACGAGAAGATGTATAATAATATCCCGAACACGAGTTGAATCCGTCGATCGACCTCTCGGTCGAAGTTGGACTTACCTAGACGGACTATTTGTCCCAGGTACATACTGGTCAACAACTTCGGGCTTAGTGCTCCCAACAACTACCACCGGCATAGGTGTGACATAGACGTTACACATGATTTGTTTTGTCCATGTTCATCTTAAAACCTCCAGGGATTCTGCCATAAGGGCTATAAATTGAAGGTGAATGATGTACTCGCCATTGACGCTAATACCGTATCTTTTCCAGTCCAGTAGCTTGAAAATGTCTTCCAATGCAGCGGTGAAGTTTCAGGGATATTGCGTCAACCTGTCTTACACCTCTCTGCAGTTGGATAGGTTTTGTACTCTGGTTCTGTACTCAGATAACCAAGGTAGCTGTACTGTAAAAAACACTTCAGAACTTCGATATACCGACAGTCGACTTGGCACCGTTAAAGGGACTGCAGCACCGCTCTAATTTCGATAATTCAGATATAGATTACCATGATATTATTATTAAACAAGAACAACATGGACACTACGCGGGATTTTTAAAGTTATGAAATAATGTTAGTTTGAGTAAAATAATATGCTAGTGTGGCCGGAAATGTTATTGAATAAAAAAATATCATTCAATGCTATTGTTGCCTGAAAATAATAGATTTTTTTTTTATATTGCATATAATTAATATGAGATTAATACGCAGGAAGAATAATTATTATTTATAACATTTAAAGTAGATAAAAATTAACACATTTAAGATTTTAAAATTTTAATACACAACAAAAATTTGTAATATAAGATGTAAATCGAAGTATACTTTATTGAATGAAGAAAACCATTCGACATCCGAAATGGAACTAGATTTCTAATATTAAATTTAGACTTACAAAATATTACTTAAGATTGGGTTTTACCCCCTCCCCTAAGATAAATACATGTAGAGATTTTGAACCCCCGTCCCCGCCACTTCCCCTCGGGACCCTTACGTAATTAATGAATGGTCCCTTATATGGCCAATTTTTAACAGTAACAATTCCTTAAACGTGAAGAATATTGTATCATTGACCTTGACAAAAATGAGCATACTTGCGGAGCTTATATCGCCGTTTCTTTTTCTGCAAGTGACACCTCGTTTTGAAACGAAAGTAGACACATAAATAGTTGATGACGTATTACAAATTAAATTTGAACTTCCAAAAACAAAGTTTTCATTTCATGTTGAAATATAAAGCTATCGACTGAGTGGAGCATAATATTGTAATAATACTATAAAAGTAAACGCAAAAATAGAGGTATTCACTAGATGAAAACAACTTATATCTGAAGTAATGCTTATGCGATAAGATTAGAGATATGCCTAATAAGAAAATATTCTAAACTAGCTGTTCCCCACGACTTCGTAAATTTATTACGATTTCATGGGTTAATTTTCTTGTGCGGAACACTAATTTTTCTTCTAAAATAAAAGTAGCCTAAGTTACTCCTTATAACATAAACTATCTGCCAATGAAAGTCCCATCAAAATCGGTTCAGTCATTTTGGAGGTTAGCCGGAACAAACAGACAGTATTAATAATTTATTATTTATTCAACAACAACAATAGATAAGAAATTGTTCAAAATTCCAAATCCATACAGCATAAACATGCAACTATCGATTGCAAGTTCTATGAGAATAATAATTGAGTAGATTCATTGATTAACGATTACACACCACCCCATTCCTACAGTGAGCTGTCAAAATTTTTAGCCGACCAAACATAACAGATATCTTAATTCCAAACATGCCAGATGATTACGCCTTGATTGGGATGCCATGTAATTACGACTTATTAACACAATTTGGGGAAGGCACTTTAACAACGTCTGGTTTCAATGATGAAAAAATTAAAAAAATTATGACCCTATGTCGTTTCGTGTGATTTGTAAGTCGACTATGTGAACGGGAGCGAACATCTAAGACATGAAACGTCTAGTATTCCGATCACCAACTCATTTATGGTTAAAGGTATTTGTTCCCAAAAGAAATATACAATTCACTTTATGAGAAGTTACAATATTCAAGTTAATAACAGGTTATGAGCATACACAATAACAAAAATACATGAAAAAATAAGGAAAGAGTTTCGTGACGTACAACAACTGCTTACTTGTTTAGCTATAACTTTTTGTATATTTTTATGAACACGTTACCAATCTTTTACAATATTGTTCAATAAAGCGGGTAGTAACAAAAGTATTTCTTATCTCTACCGATTATCGTTCAGCATATGGACAGGGTGGGATTTAGAATTTCTTTATTGTGTGTTATGTTAGCTTACTTATAATGATGTTAAAACTTATTAATATTTTAATTTCTTGAGGTAGGCAGCCAAATTTTTACAACAATGGTTATACCTACCACAGTTTTGAAGAGGCTAGATGAAGAAGATACTTCTATACTTGTGCTATTACAGGACTACGATGATAATGATGATTAAATTTGCTACATTATGTTCTTGTGCTATTTGTATAGGCTCCTGTCCAACCCGGAGGCTTTGGATCGGTATCTCTTGGATACTGGTTTCGAACAAGTGTTCAACACGCAACCGACACCAGTTCCAAGCAATCCACCAGCGTCAAGATTCGTATTCAGCAGCACTGTCACACCGCCGCCTGATGCAGGTATTATATAAATGACTGTTGTAAAACACTAAATAATGGTAGTGGACCAGTGGATGCGGCACTTAAGTCTTATAAATGGCAGGCAAAACTCTTTGTGCGTTAAGCAAGCAAACGCGTAATTGCAGCGATCCTGGCGCAGTGAGCTTATTGAAAGGTTGGACGTGAAGCGACGTAGAACTGCTTCCACTGCTTATATTGCTAGTGCACGTAACCAAGACTGGCAGTACGCCCAGCAGTCATGATATCAATTTCAGTGGTTTAAGCGTGGAGGTATACGGTCCTCCGTCTTCAGTGAATCCATAATGCCCCAATTGGAGACTGCTGAACGTGATCTGGTGTGATAAGATTCCTCTCGGAGACGACGTCTGATCATCATAACCCAACTCTTGATAATTTATTGCTTTTATTTTCTTTTTTCTTATTTTATTTTCTTTTTTTTTTTAACGTTACCCCCACACTAGGATTTTCTCTTGTATCGTGGAGGCAGTTTACAAACACAAATTTCACAAGGACAAACATCCAGACCCGCAACAATCATTTATAGGCCATACAAATACTTGTTCCATGCGGGATTCGAACCCGCGCCGCCCAGCGCAGCAACTCATTGCTAAGCCACTGTGCCACGGAGCCGTCAATATGGTGTTCCCTTATCGGAAATGGTTATTTTTAACACCTAGTATTGTGACTGAGGTGGGGGATAGGTTAGAAGTAGTTTTACGTTATCGAAATAGCATTGCGAGGGAACTGGGAGTAGGTAGTGACTAAACAAGTAAAGCAATAGAGGAACCTCGGTTGTGTTCTGAACAGAGATCCCGGGACATCTCGACTGAGCTGTTGGTAATTACCGTGTGATTTTTGTCTGTATTAGTGTTTATTATTTCAATCGCATAAACTAACAATATCATATTGAAAATTGTAACACAATATAGGGTTTTTATAATACATTCAGGGGATATTTCAAACTTAGTTTCGAAGACACAACACGCTCAGATGTAAAAATAATGTTTATGTATGTCATCAATGATTTTGAATTATATTCATACAACTTTGCTGTTACAGATGCTGAATCACCAGAAGTTGATAGATTCACAGTGCAATTAAAGAAGGATGAAAATGGATTGGGCATTACAATAGCGGGTAAGCATTTACCTACTTTTAGTCTTTTTAGATTACGATGCTGCAGGCACAGTTTAAAGAGCTAACAGTAGTGAAACGTCTTTGATGTCAGGCGATGTCGCCGATCACATTGGTGTTTACTATTTACGCTGTCGTCGCTAATATGTTAGGGGTTGTCATGAAATTGAGAATAAAGTAATTTTGGATATTATAGCACTCATTATCATTTATTAACATTATGTATTATAAGTTAAAAACATTTATCGAACAAGATCATTTTTTATACTACAAGAAATAATATGCATGGCCGTCATTTGAATACAATTTTATTTAGTAACTCATATAACTAACAGTAATTCACTATTGTAGATATTATATTTTTCGAAAACGGCACTTAAGAATAGTTAAATAAGTACTATAAAACACGCTCACGCCAACCGCATGTGTTGTTTATCAGACTCAGTGAAGTGCGCTAGCACCGCCCGCCCCCTGCCCCGCAGTGCCCTCACCAATGCTCTGCGCAAGTACATTCGTTTCCCAATTGTAAGGTCTTTAAACTGTGGTAACAGCCTTACTGCTTAGAATCGATCATTAGCAGGCAACAATAGAAAATGGTATATTGTGGTTACGTGGGTACGTGTACGCACGCAGGGTACGTGTGCGAGAAGGAGGAGCTGTCGGGCATCTTCGTGAAGTCGGTGACGGCGGGCAGCGCGGCGGCGCTGAGCGGCGCGGTGCGGGTCAACGACCGCATCGTGGCGGTGGACGGCGTGTCGCTCGCCGGCAAGTCCAACCAGCGCGCCGTCGACGCGCTCAAGCAGAGCGGCAGCCTCGTCACGCTCGAGCTCGAGAGGTACGCACTTCTAAATCTTTAAAGCGACAGTAGCCTTATGGTTAAAAGGGCGTAGACTGTTAACTTGAAAAGTCTTGATTTAGAATCCTCCATTCGACTACTGTCGTGTCGTGAGATTCCTAATTCAGTGTATATGTTTAAGCTTACTTGGAATGGTTTACGAAAATAGTAGTAATTTTAATAGCGTTAACTACTAATTATTTCATACCTAACTCAAAATTTATTATTTTTATTAATAAATATACATTTTGTGACATAAAAGTATTTTTTTTGTAATATAAATAACCTACATCCTTCATACGCATATAATCCAGAAGTGGGTGCGATGGTTGTAGTGCAAATTTGTCTTAATTGTTAATAAAGGCAGGTAATATTCATAAACTCCGAACTCAATTATTACAGATAACGTTATAAATGGAGTGTTTGCTTTACCCACAACACCCCGTTTGTTAAAATTTGAGTGTAGTATGCATAATCTACCAAGAAATACTTGACTGTTACTTTTGAAACGCATTAAATACCCAGCTACTATAATTCCTAACACTATTGCGATCGTCAGTCCACTTGCCAAGTGTGACATTCACGGTCAATTTTTATCTACAATAGGAGAGGCCCATGTCCAGCAGTGAACTTTACGCGTTGACGAGTGATATTCAAATGAGCACTTTGTGCGCTGATATAGAGTACTATAAAAAAGCTGGAATATTTTAATATTTTCGATTAAGAGTGGAGTTTGATTTGCAGATACTTACGCGGGCCAAAGTTCGAGCAGCTGCAGCAGGCGATCGCGGCGGGCGAGAGCGCGGCCAGCGCGCCGCCGCACAACCCGTTCCTGCACATGCACCGCCCCGACGCGCACGCGCCGCACCCCGCACACACCGCACACCCCGCACACCCCGCACACCCCTCGCCACACGACATACCCATGATGCACCTCAACAACACGTAAGTCCATAATAATCATTTATACAGCGTGAGGAAACCTGCATGTCTGAGAAATAAGAAAAAAAAATATTTCAAAGACATGTGAAGTTCGACAACACGCATTAGGGCAGCGCGGTGGACAATTACTTGCCCTAAAACCCTCTCAGAAATGAGAGGAAGCCTGTGCCCAGCAGTGGGACGTAAATAAGCTGCAACTTTACTTTTACAGCGTAATGGTTTTATTTTATAGGATAATGGTGACAAACGAGCACACAGTTACGTGGTAGAGCCTTGCTGCAGCTATATTAGTAGTATAGTTTTAGCACGAATTGGTCGGCTCGACCGGGGAAGGGTCCATCTCAAAGTATGTGTTTCGTATGGTGAGTGAAGGAAACCGGAGACCCTTTTTACTGGAAATGAAGCATTCCATCTTAATCCTCACGGGTGACAACGCATCTGCATTTTGATTCGTAATCGAGGATAGATACAGATGTCTATGCCACAACCACTTACCATCAGGTGGACTGTGTGCTCGTTTGTCACCCTTATCCTATAAAAAAAAAACAGTCCACCTAATAGTGAGTGGTTGCTGTGGTCTATAGACACCTACATCTATACTCAATTCGAGGAAATCCTCATCGAAGGTGGTTGGCTGACTGCCTCCTTTTTACGTTGAAGGGACACACTCGTCATGTTTCAAAGCATGTTTGAAATGACGTTGAATCTGATAAGATTACTATCGCCCCATTTGGAGACTGTCAGTGAGAGACCCACGCCATCTGTATTCAACCATGGCTTATATCAACTAATTTGAGAATATACAGATAAATGCGGTTAAGCGACTTTATTCTGCGTGTGTGCTTCCCGACATTTTGCGAATTTTGTAGGGGTGGAAAAAATAAAAAAATATGTGTGAACTGTATGAGAAAACTTAATTTATCATTACATTCGATAATTTTTTTTGAGGATAAAACGTTAAAAAACTTTATTTGGCTTGTAATTTTTTGTCGATCACCTTTCGTTTCTTAGGTATCGGTTGACGTATATAACGTATGATTCTAAGCTTTTTGTATTTAAAGATTTCCACGCAATTCACCAAGTCGCTATTCCGTCATACTGAAATAGATATCAACTTTTTTTCGATCTCAGGGTATTTACTTATACTATAAAAGGTGATTATCTTGTTTTCCTTACAGTTCGGAAACGATTGAGGAGGATAGCGCGGAACCACCTCTAGCACGCAGCCCTACGCCGCAGCCTGCATTCGAAATGCCGCGCACGCATGAACAGAAGGAAGCAATCCGACGCAAGTGGCAGGCTATATTAGGTTCTTATAGTTTTTGTTTTATTTAAATTTAAACTTTTATTATACTGTTAACGGTGGAACCTTTACATTTATTTAATTATAACAATATAAAATTTATCTTATGCGTTGACTATCATGTTCTTTTTAGGTGATGATGTTGAGATCGTTGTGGGTGTGGTTGTCCGTGGTGGCGGCGGGCTTGGCATCTCGTTGGAGGGCACCGTGGACGTGGAGGGGGGACGTGAGGTGCGACCGCACCACTACGTGCGCAGTGTGCTGCCTGAAGGACCCGTGGGCCGTGCCGGAGTACATCGTCCTGGTGATGAACTGCTCGGTAAGTACTTGTGCTGCGTTTTGCTAGATAAGCAAATCGCATTAATTGCCATACACAGACGAAACATTTACAGGTGATCTCGCAGGAACTTCCTGGTTAGTACATCCAATATGGTCTAAGATTGCGTGTAAAACGTGTTTAGTATATAAATGTGCCTATAGTATCGATAATTCTTTTTAAATTTTCCTTTCATTTATTTCTCAAACATGGAATATTTTGATATGTTGATATTTCTGGGGTAATGGCTGAATTTATACAGAACCACGAAGACGTTACGATAAGCATCTTACTGTATTTATTTGCCGTCGGCGATGGCGTTCCAATGTCATCACATTAGTATGTACAATACTGGCTTTGTGCACGGCCGTGACTAACAACGTGCTGATGCAGCAAAATCGAGAAAAATGTTTAATTTGCTTATCGCACGCCAACAGAGGTGAACGGGCACCGACTGCTGGGCATGAACCACCTGGAGGTGGTGTCGATCCTGAAGGAGCTGTCGAGCGAGGTGTGCATGGTGTGCGCGCGGCCGCGAGCCGCGCCCGCGCTCGACCTGGCGCCGCCCTCCGCCACGCTCGTCAAGGTGCACCACCACACCCGCCAACCATCCAACCACCCAAACATCCATCCATCTATTATAGTCTATAAAAGTCCATCACTGGACATAGGCCTCTCCCACACATTGCCTCATTGACGGATTTTGCCATAGTTGCCACGCTTTGCAGGCGAGTTGGCAACAATTACATAATTACAATACCTAATGTAAAACATTCGAATACCAATGTGCTGTTAAATGGGGAGGAGTTGAGTCTTGTGGATACCACTGCTTTTCTCGGTATTACTATTGATTCGAAACTTCAATGGAGCCCCCATATATCTAAATTAGCAAACAGACTTAGTTCTGCAGCATATGCTGTAAGAAAGATTAGAAGTCTCATAGATGTTGAGACAACTAGATTAGTGTGTTTTAGTTACTTTAATAGTAGTCTTATGGAATTTTGCTATGGGATAATGCGACTGATATTGAAGCTATATTTGTTTTGCAAAAGAGAGCCATTCGGGCGATTTATAACCTAAATTGTAAAGAGTCCCTCAGATAAATATTTAAAGAAATAAACATATTAACTTTGGCGTCGCAATATATTTATGAAAATGTAACGTATGTACATAAAAACATAAATAGCTTTAATAAGAATAAGGATGTGCATACTTTAAACACTAGGAACAAACATAAGCTTGTACTGCCAGTTACTAGACTCCACAGAATCAGTAATTCATTTATGGGGCAATGTATACGCTTTTACAACAAAATCCCAGGACATATTCAGTTTGTCAATAAACAAGTTTCAAAGTTTTATTAAAGAAAAACTGTACAAAAAGGGTTATTATAATATCAAGGAATACATGAATGAAAATAACCCCTGGGAATAAGGTGATCGCCACCATGCTGGTTCTATGAAAAATCATTTAAAAATTGTATAAACGAAATTATTGTTAAGTGAAATATGTTTGAAAAAAAAGTCCCGCTGGGTTTCTTACTGGCTCTTCCCAGGACAGAGGTATTTTCCGGAGCAGTGGTATATAAAAAATGACTTTCAATAAGTATTATGTAATAATCAATATTGAATAAAAAATTATTCTTTTTTATTCTATTCTTGTGTCCTGTAAATTGTCACTTCGAAAATCGAAACTTATTTGATTATTAAATTGAAGTGTGAAGCAAAATTGAAAATGACTACATTTTTACAATAAATAAATAATATTTGGTGGAAAATAAAAATCACAAACTTTTTTTTTGTAAATTTATTTTTATGCCCTCTAACATAAAAATATTTATTTATGACACGGACACAGCGCTTTGTACCGATAATTGAAGTTGATGCATGGCGCAGCACTATTCGTCTTGAACACATGCACATTTCACTCACACCGGTACATTTCGTTTTTGGTCTCACCCTAATCACTCTATCGCCAATCTAATGTATACTATATCTATGATCGCGACACATGTTTAATATAAAAATTAGATCTCATGTACTCAAAAGTTGGCGACATCTGATCTATGTCATGTCTCTATTATAAACAGGATTGTAAAGTATTGCGTATTTCAAACATCTCATGACTATGAAAAGTCAAGAAAATGAAAAAGTATGTTATCTCACTGAACCTACCCTTTTACTTTATAAATTAAAATTTTAAAGAGATATGAAAATAGATTTTCCTAAACATATTTATTTATAATAATTATATAGTAATTTATAATAAGTGACAATTTTTCTTCCCTTACATAATATAGTTCAATTGCCTAGCATAATTTTTTTTGCACATCCCACAGGGGATTTTTTAATTATAAATATATATCCCGGTGCTAAGATAATAATAAGGTAGTGACTACATGATGGTGTATGTATAGTTTTGAATAAACTGTTTATGTATGGGGTGTGTGGTGTGCGTCCCAGGCGAAGTCTGACGGCAGTCTGGCGGGCGCGGGCGGGGAGGAGGGCGGCGCGCTGTCAGCCGGCGGCAAGGTGCGCTCGCGCAGCCTCGAGCCGCTCACCGGCCTCGCCATGTGGGCTTCCGAGCCACAGATCATTGGTGCGTACACGAACACACATTTCGCACACTTCTGTCATGAGACCTCGATGCCATTTTAGCTCGATGAAGGCTTACGGGCCGCATTACACATACGGGCGTACGCTCAAACACAATGATTTTATTATTATTATCAATTATCAACGATCAATAATTACTTGTTGCCAAATGCAATATTTGAACTGGTTTCACCCAGAAATATTTTTATGTATGTGTGCATGTATATAATAAGTATTAATACATATCCAATATTAAGTATATGTATAAGTACATAATACATCTTGACGATTTTTGGAGTGGGAGATACTATGTAAAATAAACGCGTATAAAATTATAAGTGCGTAAAATTTGTGATTGAAGGCTGATTGGGTTTTTCTGCGACGGGTCTTGCAAAACTTAGTTCAGGCTGCATGAATAATTTCTACGCGCTATCATTTATATCGTTAACTGTAGTGAGCACTGAAAACCTTTTTGTAATTGAAGCTGAAAGTTTTCAGGGCTCTGGATTAGAGCACGAGAGGGACTGAGTGTTTACTTCATTAGACGTGAATTCTCCAACTTAAGGTCCAGTGTGCCCCTGACCATTCGCCGATCGCTACCAGTTTTCATCCTCGCGATCACGGAGACAATAACTGAACAGTTATTGTCGCCTTGTCGTAATAATTAAGTCCTTCTTATTTTTCGTCGAACTGTCGAGGCTGGACAAGGTCTTATTTTTTGTGGGGCAGCTTCTTAAAGAAAGAGCGGTCATAAGGAATTCTTCCTTCTTCGCAAAGTCAGCTAGCATTATCACAACATAGGTATTTTTCTAACGAATACAAGGAGATGTAACTCCTCACTATACCTACTGTATGTTTAATATACCACAGTATAATAAACATACAGTAGGACGACGCCTTTGATCTCGTGGTAAAGGTTTAGCACCCCTGGAGAATCCCTCGCTGAGCATCTGCGACCATATTATTCCACTCCTGAGCGTGGGTGCTCAGGCTGCTCCGCGTATTCGGGGGGGGGGGGGCAAAATTCCACTCAAAAATATAACTGCTCGGGGCAAACTGAGCAAAAATACAACATCAGGGGACTTCACTCGAACCTAAACGCCGTCCACTACCATCTCGAGACGGCGAAGCCGGCCTTGCTCTTTCTGACCGAGACGCAAGTTTCCTCTCCGGCTGATATTTCGTATCTCTCCTACCCGGGGTACAAATTGGAGCACTCTTTTGTGCCTCGGGCTGGAGTTTGCGTGTATGTCAGAGAGGACTTCTGTTCTCGACGCCTCGGCAGTCTTGAAGGTTGGGACCTGTCCATCCTTTGGCTACGCGTAGATAGCAACGACCATCCGCGCGTCTGCGGGTGCCTCTATAGGTCCCATAGCGGTAATGCCGAAACAGACCGACTCATCGACCACGTCCAAATGGCTACAGATTCCTTGCTACAACAGGTCCCATCCGCAGAGATCGTGATCCTTGGCGATTTTAACGCCCACCAAGCCGAATGGCTCGCTTCACGTTTAACCGATCATGCGGGGAGATATTTTTATGACTTTGCTTTGGCATATGGTCTGACACAACTGGTTACTTCGCCTACGCGGATTCCAGATGTGGAGGATCATACACCTTCCCTGTTGGACCTTCTGCTGACCTCTCTTCCGGACGGATATCAGGTTTCCGTCGATGCCCCTCTCTGCTCTTCGGACCATTGTCTGATCCGGAGTGTGGTGCCAATCACGCTCCCCTCGCGGTTGCGTTCTGCAGGTTGCCGCCGTGTTTGGCATTATAGGTCGGCGAATTGGGACGGAATGCGGTCTTTCTTTGCATCCTACCCATGGGGGCGGGTTTGCTTCTCGCCGGATGATCCCAGCGCTGTTGCTGACTCTGTCACTGATGTGGTGCTGGGAATGGAACTATTTATTCCATCATCTGTTGTAACCATCGGAGGCAGATCTCAGCCTTGGTTTGGTCGCTCCTGTAAGATTGCATTACGCAGTAAGCAGGAGTGTTATCAAGCCTGGGCTGCAGCTTCGGCGACTCGGAATGTAAACACCAGCACACTTAAAAAGAAGTATAACTTCGCCTCCAGGTCCTTCAACAGATTTATCAGATTATCAGTTAGTCAGAGCACATAGGCAGAATTGGCGAGAAACTAGTTCGCCTTCCTTCGGGAACCCGTGCATTCTAGTCTCTCGCCAAGGCTGTCCAAGGGAATTTCTGTAAACCATCACTACCATCTCTGCACAGGGAGGGTGACTCACTGGCCCAAAACGCAAAAGACAAAGCCGACCTTTTAGGCTCCCTTTTTGTGTCCAACTCGACTCTTGATGACGGGGGGAAAGCACCGCCGTCCATCCCGCGGTGTGAGTGCTCCATGCCGGATGTGCTGTTCTCACAGCGCTCGGTTCGCAAAACACTCCTCTCCCTGGACATCCAGAAGTCGAGTGGGCCTGACGGAATCCCCCCAATTGTGCTGAGGACGTGTGCTCCGGAGTTGGCACCGGTCCTAACGCGTCTTTTCCAGTACTCCTACTCCCAAGGCGTAGTCCCGAATTCATGGAAGACAGCTTTTGTCCACCCAATCCCTAAAAAAGGTGACCGCTCAGACCCGTCCAACTACAGGCCTATCGCCATCACCTCCTTGTTCTCCAAAATAAAGGAATCCATTATAAACTGCCAGCTCATGCGGTACCTTGAGGATCACCAGCTGATTAGTGACCGCCAATACGGTTTTCGTCGGGGTCGATCAGCTGGTGATCTTCTAGTCTACCTGACCCATAGATGGGCGGATGCAGTACAGTCCAAGGGGGAGGCGTTGGCCGTTAGTTTGGACATTGCGAAGGCCTTCGATCGGGTTTGGCACAAAGCGCTTCTTTCGAAGCTCCCTTCCTATGGGCTTCCCGAGAAATTGTTCGATTGGATCACCAGCTTCCTTGCAGATCGTAGCATCAAGGTCGTTGTAGACGGTGCATGCTCCGACTACAAACCTATTAACGCTGGTGTTCCACAAGGCTGTGTGCTATCACCAACGCTGTTGCTTCTGCATATCAGTGATATGTTGCTAACTGGTAACATTCATTGCTATGTGGATGACAGCACTGGTGATGCTCTATACACCGGCCGTGCCAATATTTCTCGGGAAAACCTCGCCGAGTACCGGAACAAACTAAACTTGTGTTTGAAGTCGAGTCTGTGCTGAACAAAGTCTCGGATTGGGGGCGACTAAATCTAATCCAGTTTAATCCTCAGAAGACACAAGTTTGCGCGTTTACCGCTAAAAAGAACTCCTTTGTCGCATCTCCTCAGTTTCAAGGCACTCCCCTTCTTGCCTCAGCCAGTATCGGAATCCTCGGAGTCGACATATCGAGTGATGTGCAGTTTCGTGGTCACTTGGAAGAGAAGGCCAAATTGGCCTCTAAAAAGCTTGGCGTGCTCAGCAGAGCGGGACAGTATTTCATGCCGGCACACCGCCTGCAACTTTACAAGGCGCAGGTTCGGCCTCACATGAAATACTGTTCCCATCTCTGGGCAGGGTCTCCCCAGTGACAGCTCCTTCCACTTGACTGCATCCAGCGCAGAGCGGCTCGAATCGTCGACGACCGAGTCCTTTCCGATCGGCTCGATTCATTGGCACTGCGAAGAGATGTTGCATCCCTTTGCATTTTCTTTCGCATCTACCACGGGGAGTGCTCTGAGGAATAGTTCGGATTAATCCCAGCCGCCGAATTTCACGAACGCACATCGCGGCAGAACTCCCGCACCATCCACACCATCTGGATGATTGGTAGTCTACCACTGTGCGATTTAGAAGATGTTTTCTTCCTCGCACGACTTCCTTGTGGAATCGGTTACCATCAGCGATTTTTCCGGACCGATACTACTTAGGGACCTTCAAGAAAAGAGCGTACTCCTTTTTAAAAGGCCGGCAACGCATGTGCAATTCCCCTGGTGTTGCAGTTGTTCATGGACGGCGGTAGTCACTTACCATCAGGTGAGCCGCATGCTCGTTTGCCCCCTCTCCTATAAAAAAAAATGCCGACAACGTCTAGACAGCGTGTGGAAGTTAGGGTTGTCACAAATTAACAATTTTTTCTAATTTAATTATTAATTTTAGATCTACATCGTCATCAACAGTATGATTACTAATATAAAGAATAAGTAACAATTTGTTCTTACATTTTTCCTGAAAGTAGGTACTCAAAACGTTAAATGCACGCCTCACAACGTGAGGGAGTGCTCTACTCTCGATATGTGGCCATACCTCAATTTCGCTACATAAAATCGTTCTTATACTCTTAGCTAGACATCAAATCCATTTTATTATTAACGTCACAATGACTACAGACATTGAATTATTAGTTTATTTTATAATTCATTCTTTAGGCTTTCGAAAGTTTTTCCTACTAAATCAGGTCTTCCAATAACTTTCATCCGTAATTTGCATCTGAGATTTTTAAATACAAGACTTATTAATAAATTTTCATAATTATCAACCCCAGAAACCTCAAAATTGACATCGTTATTGTATTATTTAAAAAAGCCACCATCTTGGATATCAAAATTGATGCCGTTTTCGTAATTGGCACCCCAAGAGACCTCTAAATTGACATACATAACATTAAAAAAATATTTCCACCATCTTTCTTTTTTAAGGTGCTGGAGAGCCATTCTAATCTCGCTCAGACTGATGTCCGGGATATCATCGGAATAGTGTCGGATAAGGTTTGCTCTTGGATCGTTACTCATACTTACGTGTGGCTCCAACGATGATGTGTACAGCTGCCCATAGAACCTCTCAATCTCACTCAAAATCTCAAGTGTGCCGGAAACGACGCTGCCACACTCGGTCTTCAGCTTTGACAGTTGGCTCTTTCTGGCAGACAGATCTCTGGCAAAGACTTTGGAGCCTTGGTTCTGCTCGATCGCTTCTTCAATACAAGCTGTATTGAAGTTGCGTAAGTCCCGCCGCATACATTTGGAGATCTGTCTGTTCAGTTGCCTGTATGCTGTCAAATCTGTTGAAGAATGTAGCTTCATGTCCCGTCTAACAGCCATGAGATTAAGAGTGTGATCGGAGAGTTTTTGTGTTCTTCTGCGGCGGGTCTTGCAGAACTTAGCTCCGACCGCATGGACAGTTTCCACGAGCTTGTCATTCAAATCATCCACTTCATTGCAGTCTTCTAGGCACTGAAAACGGTTTTGTAACTCGAGCTGAAAGGTTTCGGGACTTTGGAACAGAGCACGATTGGGACGGAGCGATGACTTCATTAGACGAGACCTCTCCAACTTAACGTTAGGTTTCAGTGTGCTTCTAACCATTCGATGATCGCTACCAGTTTTCACCCTCGCGATCACGGAGACATCACTGAACAGTTGTCGTCTGGTCGTCATAATGAAGTCAATCTCATTTTTTGTCGAACCGTCGGGGCTCGACCAGGTCCGCTTCCTGTGGGGCCGCTTCCGGAAGAAAGAGTTCATCATAAAGAGTCCCTCTTTCTCCATGAAGTCGGCCAGCTGCTGGCCCCTTGGGTTCCGTTGCCCTATTACAAATTTCCCTACTTTCAGCTGACCGTTCTCTCTTGTGCCTAGTTTTGCATTGAAGTATCCCATTAACATTGTGTTGTGGGTATTTGTGTTATTGTAAACGTAGGTAGTTATTCCATATAATAAATCAGTTGTTGTCTCGCTAACGAACGTATATTATTGCAATCACAACATGGTGTCAGGTGTGGTCACAACACATCGTATAGTGGGTTTTGGAGGAATGCATGGCTCTAGAGATATCCTCATACATTTCCTCCACCTCCTCATCGGGATGTGCCGAGATTGGTGCGTAAACCTGTATGACCTTCAGCGAATACCGTTTGGTGATTCTGAGTATAAGATACGCAACCCTCGTCGACACACTCAATCTTTACAACGTTGTTAACGAGAGACTTGTGGACGATAAATCCGATAGATGGTCGCCCTCACGGTGATAGAGCAAGTTGCCGGATTCGAGGATTACCGTTTCCTCCCCCTCTCTTCGGACCTCGGATAATCCTATAATATGCCAGCGTAACTTGTCTATCTCTTCTTCCAGCTCCACGATCTTCTCGTCAGTCCTCAGGGTGCGTGCGTTGTATGTTGCCAGGTCGAGTCGTCTTATGTGGCAACCGAACCTCCAGCGGAGATTCTTAGCACCCCCTGCCCCGCCGTTACCATGGTCGCCACCGTAGCCAGGAATAGCGGGGCCGCCGGGGACTGGGGGCCGTTTATTAATGTCATTGTTCATGGGGGGTATATTGCCATAGTTGCCACGCTTGGCGAACAGGTTAGAGCAGGCCACCGCAGTTTTTTTATTGTTGTTTAGCTGTTATCAGAAAGATACTGCTGCCCATCCTCTGCCTCAGTTTCCCTCTGTCGCCTCTTACGACACCCACGGGAACATATGGGGTAGGGAGTATTCTTACACGCAACTACATGGCAATATATTTATTAATTATAAGTTTCAACACTAAATTTAAAAATAATAAAAGCAAACGCGCGTTAACCCTGGAAGTCGTGTCCCGAGCTACTAATACGATTGGCATGAGCAGCTCGGGCTCTTCCTTCACGCGTTTCACCCCTCACACCCCGCACGATTTCCCAGTCTAGACGTCTTCGTCGGACGACTGTATGGATTTATAGACTGTGATACTACTATAAATATTCATTAAGTGGCTTGCATTTTATCATTACCCTTTTTATTTTTATGCCTTTTAGAACCAATTTCTTATATACCTACTAATCTTTTAATATGTACATTATTTTATTTCTTAAAATAAAAAGTAATTTTGATGAATGCAGGTGGATTAGGACCATGCTTAGTGGAATTCTTTGGGGGAGGGATGTTGAGCAGCAGACTTATCTAAATGTCTGACGTTAATAAATGTGGCTAAGTTACTCCTGTAACTTATTGTAAAAACCAGTAAACATATACTGCCTTTTTTACTGTCTTTGTTATACCTTTTTTTTACTATACCAATTAGTACAATACATCACATTGGTCACAATAATACTGGTCTAGCTCTTGTAAGACCAGATACTCGCACTTAGTATAAAAATATATTAAGTAGCTGCTAAACAATCAGTTAACAGACTGCATTCGATTTGTAGAGCGCAATGTACTTTGAGATGTAAGATTGATAAAAAGTTGAAGTTATAGCCTGTATACACTCCACAACTGGAAACAAGCATCCTTTCATTTCAGAAGCTTTTTGAAGCTAACGCTGGTAACTACTAATTTTAAGGTTCTAAACTTTTATATGGTATCCAATATTGAGAATAATGACCATCAAACAGTGCAAGGATTACTCATAAGTGTTAAATAATCTGTTATAGAATTGGTGAAAGGAGAACGTGGTTTAGGATTTTCGATACTTGACTACCAAGATCCTCTACGGCCGTCAAAGACTTTGGTAGTGATTCGTTCCTTGGTGCCGGGCGGCGTGGCGCAGCAGGATGGTAGACTCATACCCGGCGACAGACTGCTCTTCGTCAACGACCAGGTAAACAACATTTAATACTGATAATTTTATGTTCGTTATGCAGTAGCGACGTAAGGAAATTCATTATCCTTCATTACACCTTCATCCTGTAGGTGTCATGACTCGGATAGATTGCGATATTGTAGATTAATATATAGTTATATGCATATACCGATATGTGAAAACATTAAATGGTGTATAACTGTAATATTTTATGTAGGTATTTAACCGATTCAGTGCTGATGATTATTTTTATTATTTTTCTGTGTCGTGTCATTTTAAAAATCATTATAACTCGCTCAAATTGCGTTTTTCTAAGATTTATCCAGAACAGAATATCATTATTTTTGCAAGTAGTACATGCCTACAGCTTCGTTTCTGGATATTTTGAGAATTATAATTTTTAGGGGTTGACAACCTTTTTTAACTAGATGGTACCAACTCTTTTCTACCAACTTTAAAATGGAGACGGTACTCAATTCGACTGTATGTTTTTTTTTATTTCTTTTACCTCTATACCCTTTTCTGGGTGAACCGATTTAGATGATTCTTTTTTTATTTGAAAGCTGGTGCTACACATGTGCTCCCGTAAAAATTTGATCAAGGTCTAACGAATAATTTTTAAGTTATTCTTAATAATTTATACTGAAGTCGGTTGTACAGTTTTTAATTTAAAATTATTACTGTGTGGGTTTTTAAATCATGTTGCAGAAAAATACTCTAATAAGTAACAAATAATAGCACTCATTGCGATGCTCACAAACTCAAGTTGTAAACAAATTTCTGGAAAACAAGTCTCCTGTTAAAAAAATCAAAGCGTTGTCTTATTGTTAAATTTTGCTTAAAATGGTTGAATTACCATTTTATTACTACCATATGGCCGAATAGACCTACGAAGTACCATGTGCTCTTGTGATATGGTATAAGGTTTATTTTTGCTTGAAACAGTTCGAACGCGTTCCTGCATAAAAAAGTTCGCTAATAAATAGTATTTTGTTCATCAGCCGCCGTGCAGCGCCGGCGCATCTGGCTATTGTTTTTCCTTTTTAAAACACTTTTGTTTTGCTATTCTTACTAATTTTTTAGATCGATTTTACTTTTACATTTGTATAACATTAAATAATATATAACATTTGTAAATATCAATGAATCATAAACCTTATTTTTTTCCAAATTAAGGTTCTTGATTGTTTGATATTTACAAAAGTTATTATTAGGTGAAAATTTAATTTAATAAAAACCAAGGTTTTTTCAGGGTGATTTCGCTTTACCTACAATAACATTATTTTTACACATGGCTGATGAATGAACAATAGTGTCATAAACTTCTATGGCGCTTGACACGATAGGCGTGTCTCGAAATATTTTTTTCGAATAAAACAAAATACTAGATCCAGTCCTGCGATTTCTGGTACTTCTATCACCAATTTGCTTGCGATGCGACCATCCCACCTTACACTGAAGAGACCCATGTAACTCACAAAGCCATATCAGTATTATCCCAGAATTTGTATTTTATTAGAGAATATTATGTCATCATCATCATCATTACAGCTTTTCACAAGTCCGCTGCTGAACATAGGCCTCCCCCAAGGAATGCCACAAAGCACGGTCCTGAGCCACCTGCATCCATCGACTTCCTGCATGTCTTACCAAGTTGTCACTCCATCTAGTGAGGAGACGCCCTACACTTCGTCCGCCGGTACGAAGCCGCCACTCGAGAACATTTTTCCGCATCGGTTGTCGGTTCTTCGAGCTATATGGCCGGCCCACTGCCACTTCAGCTTATTAATCCGTTGGTCTATGTCGGTTACTCTGGTTCTACTGCGGATATCCTCATTTCTAAGTTTATCACGCAGATAAACCCCGAGCATAGCCTTCCCCATAGCTCGCTGAGCGACCTTGAGCTTCCTCATACGGCCAGCAGTGAAGGACCACGTCTCAGATCCGTAAGTCATCACTGGCAACACGCACTGGTTGTACAATTTCGTTTTAAGGTTTTGAAGTATGTCTAACGAGAAGATGTGTCGTAGTTTTCCAAACGCTGCCCAGCCGAGTTGAATTCGTCGATTAACCTCTCGGTCGAAGTTGGACTTACCTAGTCGGACTATTTGTCCCAGGTAAACATACTCGTCAACAACTTCGAGCTTAGTGCTCCCAACAACTACCGGCATAGGTGTGACATAGACGTTAAACATGATTTTTGTTTTGCCATGTTCATCTTAAGACCTATCCGTTGAGAGACACTATTGAGGTCATTGAGCATAGTGCTTAGGTCCTCCAGCGATTCTGCCATAAAGACTATATCGTCGGCAAATCGAAGGTGAGTGATATACTCGCCATTGATGTTAATACCGCATCCTTTCCAGTCCAGCAGCTTGAAAACGTCTTCCAATGCAGCGGTGAAGAGTTTCGGGGATATGACGTCACCCTGTCTTACACCTCTCTGCAGTTGGATAGGTTTCGTACTCTGATTCTGTACTCGGATAGCCATCGTAGCCCTACTGTACAAACACTTCAGCATTTCGATATACCGACAGTCAACTTGGCACCGCTGAAGGGACTGCAGCACCGCCTAAATTTCGACGGAATCAAAGGCTTTCTCATAGTCCACATACGCAAGGCAAAGTGGCAGATTGTACTCGTCTGTCTTCTGTAAAATTTGCTGAAGGGTGTGTATGTGGTCTATGGTACTACTACGTGTTCATTTCGAGTTTGCCGTCGCCGACCGTTATGACGTCACAGCTGACGGTACCGTAGACAAAACTATTATTGTAAGTGTTTTAATTATTGTACGAAGTTCGATTTTTAGTTTGTTGTCCTGTACAGAGAAATGGAGGGCAAGCAAGTAGATAAAATGCATATTATTGAATAATTTATTTAGTTAGTAAAGTAAATTAATAACACTGAATAGAAACGTGTACGATAAAATAAAATATTTTTATTATAGTTTTATTATATATTATAAATAAATTATTTACGAAGGCGCGAAAACAAGTGGGAGGTAGTTATTTGTAATCCATAACTTTCATACCAGTTATTTTATCAAAATCGTTCGTCCCTGTATCACTGCCATCACTACATTCTGTGTTTATCACAAATTAACGAACGTAAAAAGTCAATCGAAACAAAAAATTAACAGTGACAAAAACAGTAACAAACAAGAGATCGCGCGGGAGCACAAACAACGGTTGCTATCGGTACTATATGGGCGACGCTTGAGGCGCGGTATGAGGGAGCGCGGCGGGAGGTAACGGCATTCATGAAGTGAACACGTAAAAAGCCTTTTCGGAAACCGGCTTGTTCGGGATGCTGGAAGTCGTCAAGTCTGCGTGCGAGACGATTCGTAATGACTCTCGAAAACAGCACGCGGCTGAGAAGGGAAATCGGTCTCTAGTTCTTCAAGAGAGCATTGTCGCCTTTCTTGAAGAACAAGACCACCGCACTTCTGCTCCACGCAGAAGTCCGGATTAGTGCCACCATGGAGGACGGAATTAAAGAGCTTCTGAAGGACTTTAAGTACCGGTTTTTCACCCGCTTTTAAAAGCTCTGCTGTAATTCTATCCTCGCTCGGGTACTTTCCGTTTTTAAGGTGCTGGAGAGCCATTCTAATCTCGCTCAGACTGACGTACGGGATATCTTTGGAATAGTGTCGGATAAGACTCGCTCTTGGATCGTTACTCAGACTTGCATGTGGCTCCAACGATGATGTGTACAGCTGCCCATAGAACCTCTCAATATCACTCAAAATCTCAGGTGTCCCGGAAACGATGCTGCCACACTCGGTCTTACTTTGGAGATCTGACTGTTCAGTTGCCTGTATGCTATCAAATCTGTTGAAGAATGTAGCTTCATGTCCCGTGTAACAGCCATGAGATTAAGAGTGTGATCGGAGAGTTTTTGTGTTCTTCTGCGGCGGGTCTTGCAGTACTTAGCTCCGACCGCATGGACAGTTTCCACGAGCTTGTCATTCATATCGTCCACTTCATTGCAGTCTTCTAGGCACTGAAAACGGTTTTGTAACTCGAGCTGAAAGGTTTCGGGACTTTGGAACAGAGCACGAGGGGGACGGCGCGTTGACTTCATTAGACGAGACCTCTCCAACTTAACGTTTAGGTTCAGTGTGCCTCTAACCATTCGGTGATCGCTACCAGTTTTCACCCTCGCGATCATAGAGACATCATTGAACAGTTGTCGTCTGGTCGTCATAATGAAGTCAATCTCATTCTTTGTGGAACCGTCGGGGCTCGACCAGGTCCACTTCCTGTTGGGCCGCTTCTAGAAGAAAGAGTTCATCATAAAGAGTCCCTCTTTTTCCATGAAGTCGGCCAGTTGCTGGCCCCTTGGGTTCCGTTGCCCTATTCAAAATTTCACTACTTTCAGTTCACCGTTCTCTCTTGTGCCTAGTTTTGCATTGAAGTCTCCTATTAACACCGTATAGTGGGTTTTGGAGGAATGCATGACTAAATATTATGTATTATGTACAATATAATTCGGCGACCAATTCAGTTTGTCAGATTGCTTTAGTAATCAGTTCTATTAATTTTCTCAGCCACGAACTTTGAAAGTTGAAGTATGTGGTTTGAGAATGGGTGAGTTAACTGTCAAATGCCTTTTGTACGTCGGTGATCAAGACATATTTGCATCGTCGGCAGCCGAGTTGCAAATGATGGTTACTTTAATGAACTGGTAATTAAAACAAAGGAGTATGAAAGTGAATGCAAGTAAAATGAAAGTGATAGTTTTTGAAAGAGAAGAAAGTAAAACTTTATATGAAATAAAAATAGAAGGGCAGTTGATTGATCGAGTGGATGAGTTTGTATATTTGGGATGTGTATTTAGCAGGGATGGTAGACATGATAAGGATATAGAACGACGAGTGAACGCAGGTAATAGAGTGAATGGGGCTCTACACGCTATTGTGAAAATTCAGAATGTGTCAAAAAAGGCACGTATGGCAATTCATAATACTGTGTTAGTCCCTACTTTAATCTATGGTAGTGAAAGTTGGATCTGACAGAAGCATGAGAGTAGAATAAATGCCGTAGAAATGCGGTCATTAAGGAGTATGCTAGGGCTGAATCTGAATGACAAGGTGAGAAATTGTGTGATAAGAGCAACGTGTGGTTTGCAAGATAACGTGGCCAGGATGAAGAAAGGGTTTGGTCATGTAGAAAGAACAAACGAGAAAAGACATAAATATGATTTGATAATCAAAGTGAAGCAACTCCACATTAAAATTTCGCTAGAAAGAAATTTATGAAATATAAAGGAACTAAAAATATGGTGAAAATAATTCGAACTATTGTATTTTCAAAATTATAACCTACAAAATTAAACGAACGAACAATACGTTGAGTCATTTAAAACAGTTTATCAAGTTTCTAGCCATCTAACGTTAATTAGGAGATGTTACGAGTAAAACCCATCTAGCGGAGTTTGAAGATACTAATACAAACCGAACTGAATCAAACACAATTAATAAAAATATAGTAAATTGACACAAGAGGTCGCTTAATAACATTCAAACAAATAAAATCACTTATCAATATGGAAGAAATAACAAATATGCTAAAAAAATGCAGGATGATATAACGGAACAAAGAAAATAATTAAAAAGGTTACAAGAAAATATTCCAAAGCCTATCACTGAAAATGTTAACTTAAAATGTAAGGAAATTATGTCAAAAAATTAAAAGCTGGAGGAAATTATCAATAACCAACAAAATGCATTAGAAAAGATAGAAGAACAAATACGGATGAAAAACGTAGTTATATTTGGTCTAGAGAAAAACGAAAAAAGTTAAGAAGATTTAGAAAATAATATTATTAAATTTTAAATGAACACTTGAACGCAAATTGTACCTTAGAAGATATAGAATCAGCCTTAAGACTAGGTAGTAAGAGAGAAAAACCTAGACCAGTTAAGATCACGTTTTGTAAATTAAGCTTACTTCAGACAATATATAAATGATTTACCAGCTTGTTACTAAAAACAGTCTTAAATACTTTAGAAGAAAGTCGACCGAGAGAACAAGCAGGGTTTAGGGCGGACTTTTCTACAAATGACCACATATTCACTGTCACAAATTATTGAAAGTTATGAATACAACAAAAAAACTACATTGCTTTTGTAGACTATTCAAAAGCATTCGACTCTATATATCATACATACCTATGGCTGACGCTCCAAGAAAAAGGAACACCATTTAATTCAGAAAGGAGTGAGACAAGGGGATCTTATCTCGCCGTATTTATTTAACGCCATTTTAGAACATGTTTTTAAACAACTCAATTGGCATAATATTGGCATAAAAATAAATTGCGTGTATTTAAATCACCTACGATTCGCTGATGACGTTATCCTTATCAGTGAAAGTCATGCTGATCTAGAACACATGCTGATATCTTTAGATATAGAGAGTCAAAAGTGCGGACTCCATAAGAATACTGAAAAAATGAGTCTCCTAACTAACATAGATAGAGAATGTTGACAACTATGTCTATCTTGCGCAGAACATTTGTTTTTCAAAACAAACTGAAAATGAAGTCGACCGCGGAATAAAAAGTACTAGGAGAAAGTACTAGTCACTAAAAGAAATATTTAAGTCTCCTATACCGACGCTACTAAAAAAGAAAGCAATGGATTCTATTATACTACCACACTACTCTATGGCTATCAAAGCTGGGCACTAACAAAAACGATAATAAACAGACTTCAGGTCTTTCAGCGTGCAAAAGAGAGGAACATGTTAGGCCTTAAGTTACGAGATAGGCAAGAAAATAAAGAAATAAGAAAAGCAACAATAGTAATAGATGCTGCAGAATTAGCATGTAAATTAAAATGGAGATGGGCAGGCCACGTTGCAAAAGCTACAGATGGACGTTGGAGAGAGTCCTCCAATGGTACCGGAGTACCACGCCCACGCGGTAGGCCCAGGCGCAGGTGGTGTGATGACATTGTGGCCACAGTTAGCCACACCTGGATGAGACTCGCACAAGATAAGCAAAAATGGCAAAAATAGAGGAGGCCTTCACCCGCAAATGGGGTTTGGGTACCCCAAATAAATAAATAAAAAATCAGTGATTAGTAAAAAAGGAATAATTTCAATATTGTTTTATCATAACTAATTTGCTGTAAATTGCTTTTCATAACACGTTATAATTGACCATCACATATTTTAATATTATTATTTCTACTCCTTTTTTTCTCAAGATTTTCTAAGATCTTGGTTTTTAAGAAATGCTCACAGGCCTAAGCCAAACATTCTCGGATAATACGGCAAGTGTTGAGGATGGCTGCTTTTTGTATGGTAATATAACTATTTTCAGGAAGATCTAATAGTTTAAAGGGAGTGGGGCAAACGTTTCGGGATCACACCAGTACTGAAGAGCACCAGCGGCACAATGTATACTTTGTTCATTTTCCAGATTCTAGTTACTTCTTCTTTTAGTTCTGTGTATTTAAGATTTTTTTAAGTAATGGTTTTTTGTAGATTATGGGTATTTGGGGTTGCTATATCAATTAGGTGTACTGTTTTATTTTATTTGTCAATTAAAGTTATATCCGGTCTATTGTAATCGTTTTATCGGTAAGAATAGCTCTATCAAAGTACATTCTATGACTGTCGCTCTCCAGAACAGGTTTAGGGTGTATTGATAGTACGGCAATAGTAGTTGGTTCGGGATCAAATTGTATTTATTCACAAGCTTTTGATGAACGTAATTAGCAACCTGGTTATGCCGGTGGGTGTAATCAGTTTGTGCTAGGCTGGGACAAGCACTGGTGATATGTTGTATAGTTTCGGATAGGCGGTGACATTTTCTACAGCTATCGTTTGTGTCTTTTAATACATATTTTTATTATTATCATTATTAATTGATTTAAATTGTGTAATTTCATTTTATTATTTTATATTTGATAATTTTAAAAAATTTAGTTAATTGATAATATATTTTAATGATATTATTTAACTCGATTGGATGGTGGATATACTTAGGTTAGGCCACCGCTCCGCAGCGATACCTGTTTTTAACATAAAATTTTGCAACAACTGCAAGCGTGGGCGTTTAGCTTAGTAATCTGTCTTACACCTACATTGATTAATTCCAGTTGAATATTGTTAATATTTGTTCAGAATTTGGAAGACGCAAGCCTAGAGCAAGCGGTGGCAGCGCTGAAGGGCGCGCCGCGGGGCGTGGTGCGCATCGGCGTGGCCAAGCCGCTGCCGCTGGCCGACGCGCCCCCGCCGCTGCCCTCCTCCGCTCCCCCCTCACACAACACTGATTAACATTCCAACGGCAACAAATTAACTTATATGGGATTTTACTATAAATAATTATATAATGTTAATAGAATTTTGACCACATTCATTTCTATAAGTGATAAAAATATATTTATCAAGTCTTCCTATCCGTAATATCACCGTTGATTGCTAGATGATAAGTTTATTATTTCAGGTATTAAAATGTTTTAATGACAGTATTACGACTATTTTTATGTACTTAACGTTTTTAGAATCGCGATAATTGCTTTGAAGCGCAACAAACGCAATTACATTTAATGAAACTACTTTTTCACATTTTATCATGTTTATAAAATATTTTCATTCCATGTGTAGTGTCCGAGTTAACTCAGAAATATTTATGTAATTCTTTTTTGTATTGAGACTGTGTTTACATTCCAAGATGCAAAGATTGACATTCTTTTAAAATAAAAATTCTTATTATAAAAATATAATTCCTTATTTTAAGATATGTTATGACAACTTAGTTTTAAGAACTCGGTTTTTGTTCACTTTTTCATAGTTTAAGCAGAGATGTCATTTTAGCATCATTTTTATTGCATGATTTTTTTAAAGTTTTATGTGTTACGAATTATGAATTATAATACATTATAAACAAATTTACCTATGTAAAATTTTATTTCATCCTGAAAGTTTAGCTTCATTGTATACAATTATCAATGTGTGGTATAACTAAAAAAAAAAAAAAAAACAGTTTTATGGTAACAATTATATATTTTTAACAAAAATATATTCACAGCTCCCCATTGTCGAATCAATTAAAACTATTTTACAAGCTTTGAGCTCTTCTGCTCTATTCCCTAATTGAGCAATGGTAACAACAATAGAAAAATAGCCCTCTTCCGTGCATATTAAATTAAAAATAAATAAATTATTCCTTGTAAAACTCTTCTATAACGTCCTTATATTTCTCATAAACAACATTTCTCTTTATTTTAAGCGTAGGCCCTGTAAAAGAAATGCATAAATTATGGCGTTTTTAGCTTGAAAATGAATTTTACATCTAAACTGACTAAATATATAAATATAATATTAGACATACCCAATTCTCCTGTGTTCATAGAAAAGTCTGCAGGCAGTATCGCAAATTTCTGTATTTTTTGCGCGTTAGATATAGCATGTTTGTTGGCACGAGCTATACCTTCTTCTATTGCTTTGTGGACCTTTGAATAGAAATATAATTGATAAAGGCGCTACATACCTACATACATCTTTTGTTACAATAATGTTTACGTTACTAATATTAGAAAAAATTCAAAAAAGAACACTGCCAATTCTATTAACACTACTAATATTCCTGTTACCCTGTCCTAAAGCTTTGAATGCTTACGCTACGAGTGGTACACAACATTAGTCGAATGGCAGAATCGAACAAATTACCTATAAGTAAAAGAATAGCCGGACAGTGCTTAGTCCATCTAGCCTATTCCTCTGTATTCTTCCTGGATGATGACACTACAGCAAATGTTTTATGATACAATCTAAATTTACCACTTCCATGTTCCTATGTTTAGTTTTTTCATATATTAATTATTTTAAAAACTAACCTAAAAATGAAAAGCGATTCAATTTTGGAAAAGAAAACAGAGGAATACGGGGTTGATAATTATGTATTTTATAGGTTGGTTGTATGTATAGCTCGGTTGTACGGGCACAGCAATACAGCATAGACCGTTAAAATCTATCGGCAAAAAATCAGATTTCACCCGCGCGTCTAGTCAGACCCCTGCTTCGCAATCATACTAGGTACATACATTTTAAAACACAACATGCACATAGTTCGAGTCAGATCGCGATGTCGACCGTGTCTTTCGCAGAATAAAAATGATGTATGCGCCATAATTATTTTTATTTTCCTATTATATTTGAAAAATTACAGCACTTGAAGAAGTCTAAATTTTTTTTCTAAAATTCTTTTCTAAATACCTACTTGCGTGTCTGCTTTGTGCGCAGCCTTAACCATTGATTGCTTGCCATCGATTAATATCGATATAGACTGACGTCAATACTTGGCGTTTGGCGTTTATAACTAAGTATATTGATATTTTTACACATTTGCGATATATTGTACAATCATCATCATTATCATTACAGCCTTTCATAAGTCCACTGCTGAACATAGGCCTCCCAGAAGGAATGCCACAAAGCACGGTCCTGAGCCACCTGCATCCATCGACTTCCTGCATGTCTTACCAGGTCGTCACTCCATCTCGTGGGGGGACGCCCTACACTTTGCCTACCGGTACGAGGCTGCCACTCGAGAACCTTTCTTCCACATCGGTTGTCGGTTCGTCGAGCTATATGGCCGGCCCACTGCCACTTTAGCTTACTAATCCGTTGGGCTATGTCGGATACTCTGGTTCTACTGCGGATATCCTCATTTCTAAGTTTATCACGCAGAGAAACCCCGAGCATAGCCCTCTCCATAACTCGCTGAGCGACTTTGAGCTTCCTCATACGGCCAGCAGTGAAGGACCACGACTCAGATCCGTAAGTCATCACTGGCAACACGCACTGGTTGTACAATTTCGTTTTAAGGTTTTGAGGTATGTCTAACTTGAGGTATGTCTCTTGAAGTTGCGTAAATCCCGCCGCATGCATTTGGAGATCTGTCTTTTCAGTTGCCTGTATGCTGTCAAATCTGTTGAAGAATGTAGCTTCATCTCCCGTCTAACAGCCATGATATTAAAAGTGTGATCGGAGAGTTTTTGTGTTCTTCTGCGGCGGGTCTTGCAGAACTTAGCTCCGACCGCATGGACAGTTTCCACGAGCTTGTCACTGCTCGTCCACTTCATTGCAGTTTTCTAGGCACTGAAAACGGTATTGTAACTCGAGCTGAAAGGTTTCGGGACTTTGGAACAGACCACGAGGGGGACGGAGCGTTGACTTCATTAGACGAGACCTCTCCAACTCAACGTTTAGGTTCAGTATGCCTCTATAACCATTCGGTGATCGCTGCCAGTTTTCACCCTCGCGATCACTGAGACATCACTGAACAGTTTTCGTTTAGTCGTCATTATGAAGTCAATCTCATTTTTTGTCGAACCGTCGAGGCTCGACCAGGTCCACTTCCTGTGGGGCCGTTTCTGGAAGAAAGAGTTCGTCATAAAAAGTCCCTTTTTCTCCATGAAGTCGGCCAGCTGCTGGCCCCTTGGGTTCCGTTACCCTATTACAAATTGCTCTACTTTCAGCTCACCGTTCTCTTTTGTGCCTAGTTTTACATTGAAGTTTACCATTAACACCGTATAGTGGGGTTTTGGAGGAATGCATGGCTCTAGAGATATCCTCATGCATTTCCTCCACCTTCTCATCGGGGTGTGCCGAGGTTGGTGCGTAAACCTGTACGACCTTCAGCGGATACCGTTTGGTGATTCTGAGTATAAGGTACGCAATCCTCGTCGACACACTCCCAATCTTTACAACGTTGTTAACGAGAGACTTGTGGACGATAAAACCGACACCTCATTGGGACAGATGGTCGCCCTCCCGGTGATAGAGCAAGTGGCTGGATTCGAAGATTACCGTGTCCTCCCTCTCTCTTCGGACCTCGGATAATCCTATAATATGCCAGCGTAACTTGTCTATCTCTTCTTCCAGCTCCACGATCTTCTCGTCAGTCGTCAGGGTGCGTGCGTTGTATGTTGCCAGGTCGAGTCGTCTAAGGTGGCAACCGGAGATTCTTAGCACCCCCTGCTACGCCGTTACCACCACCGTAGCCACCGTAGCCAGGAATAGCGAGGCCGCCGGGGACTGGGGGCCGTCTCTTTGTTACTCTCATCATAGGGGGGTATTTGCCATAGTTGCCACGCTTGGCGAGCGGGTTGGCAACCGCAGTTTTTTCATTGTAATTTTGCTGCAATGAGGAAGATGCTGCTGCCCATCTGTCTGTTTCCCTTTGTCGCCTTTTACGACACCCACGGGAAGATATGGGGTAGTGGATATTCTTAACCGCCACTACACGGTCTATTGTACAATATATACAACATATTGTATGTATTGTATTGTAACACAATATAACCAACTCGTATATTCTTGAAACGCAATATCCTGCCTGGAGTTGTGGGCCAGCGATAAATGTGCGAAATATCTGGTACTGTGGTTATAAATCAAGCTGCTCAGTATTTTGTGGCAAATGCTATTGATTCTAGAATATATATTGATGATAGAATAGTTTTGTGCCGACAGTTTGTTGCTATAAAGGTTTTCATTGTCATATCTGTAAGGCTTTCAAATAGGTTAACAATCGTAGTAAAATGCTTAAAGATCCAAAACAATCTTTGGTTAGTAAATCTAATATGTAATAATTTTTCTCTCATAAAGAAAAACGGTGGTAAATTATCTATCGCCGACATCATGTTGCTTTTTGAATTATAGGGGTTACTTACTGCCGGGTCCTTTGTCTTGACAATTTCACTAATCGTTTTGGCATTGCTTCCAAGACTTGCAACCCATTTTCTAGTTTCCGTTTCCAGCTCGTCCAGTGGATCTCCTGTCTCCGGGTTAACTTTTGCCTAAAATATGTATTTTAAATGTTTAGTTAAGCAGTACTCAATGAATTTCTAAGCGAGACAAACATAGATCTCTCTTTCTCTTTGTCATACATTTTACATTAGATATTATTAACATGGTTTCTTCAAAATATTTAAGTACATTTTTAGAAAATTTTTGTAAATACTTGATAAATATAAACAATGATTTCTTATATTTACGCGAACACTACACATTTAAATAAAACTAATTTTACGGATTTTATTGCGTATATTAACTTATTTTATATTCCCGACGTTTCGAGCACTTTACAGCGCCCATGGTCACGGGGGGGGGGGGGACTGAGGTGTTATGACGTCCCAATGTCATAGTTAACCACGGCTACCTCCAAATAAAAAATTATTAATTCTTATTCCGATCTATGCAGTATGAACTTACAGTATATTGAAGTTTTGCAGTAGTGTGCTTGGGTTGGGATTTAATTTTATTAATTATGCGATCCCAAGCATATGGTAGCACCTAGCCATCTTCTCTATTGCAATTAGGATGTTTTTGATTTCAATAGCCTCGCGAATCATCCTTGGAAGGAATCGATGTTCCATTCGTGCTACAACCATATTATAGTTGCCGCATAGCTTTACCACGTATACGATTTTATTGTAAAGTATATCATAGGACCTATATGAATGTACAACGTTTTTGCAACTGCTATAGGTCTTAGCGCACGTTCAGGTCTGAACTTTATTATCGACGAAGCCGAAAACTAGAACGTTGTTTGTACTTTTCGTGGAAAATACGAGCGTACGAACACATACACAGTCATCCTTTAAAAATTAGTAGAACCGGACTCCAGGGCCCTTAAAATTTGGTGATATATTGAAATTTGGAATTATTATAACTTCAACCTAAAAAGTAAAAAAAAAAAATAAGTTTCGGTCTATATACATTCCACTTTGACACAAGCCTTTAATACTCTAAAAAGGTTATTATGAAGCAATAAGTCAGCGTCGATGCACTCTTTTAGCACATGGTAAATCAGTTCTTAAAAAGGGCATTGCCGTGATGGCTAAATAGCTAAGCGTTCGCCGCAAATCTCACAGCCAATGATTCTGAGCTTTAAATCGTTAAAGGTAACGTCATCAAAAACACAACTGATAGAAAAATAACCTTAAGTGTGAGCAGGATGGAGAGGAACTTGCGTCTATCACCAATTA